CTCACTTTATCAAGAGTGTTTGAAGCCTGAGCACTAATTATTTATGCAGTCTTTTGGTGGCAGTGTGGAGTAGTACTTGCATGGCAGACAAGGGAATATCTAAAAATTTCATCATAAGTTCTCAGAACTGAGACTTGCAGCGGAAATTTCTCAACATTAAATGTCATCAATTTTGCCCCACTCAGGAAGTTGCAAGACACGTGGCTATAACCTCAGTGAAATGGAACTTGTCTGAAACCTAATAAACAGCTACCAATCATGTTTTTATTTTTTTAATCCATCCCCTTTGCAATATGATTAAAAAAACCAAAAACTTACTAGTAATATATTTGCAACTAAAGATAATATTCATACTTACAAATATCAGTTAAAGAATAAATGGAAAATCAGAATTGAAATTAGTAAATAAATAAATAAATAAGACAAAAAAAAAAAACTGAACTGGATTTGATGGGTTAGCTGTAATCCCAGCTACTCAGGAGACTGTGGCAAGAGGATTAAAAGATTAAAGCCACCCTGGACAATCTAGTGTACCTTATCTCATAGATGAATGAATGAAAAAATAAAGAATAAAGGATAGATGTGGGTGTTCAGTTCTTGCTTTACATGTACATGGCACAGGATTCATCTGATGTGTTGAATATTGTTTTAATATTAGAAAATTTGGTGCGGCTAAAATTTCTCTGACTATATCAACTGTCATAGATGAACTTGCAAATATAGGAACCCCCTGTGATGAGGTAATCCCTGAATGCTAGGAAGGTTTTAGAGCTCTGTTAAACTACCTGTAAACAACTAGCTTCAACAGGTAGATTCCACTGCCTTCCTTTTCCACAATGCCTGGTCCAAAAGACCTTTATTGACCAAATCTAAATAATATATGTGATTGGGCATCTTGCCAGGTTTAAACCAACAGAGCCAATGAGACTATCCTGTAAATATTAGTTTTGTGGTTGTCTAACTATCTCCTCATCTGCTTTTAAAGGACTCAGACTCAAACTCCCTTCTAGAAGAAAACAGCAGAAGGTAAAGTTCCCTTAGCTCGATGACTTTTGGTAAAGCTCTTACTTTCCTGCTTCTTTCTGTTCGGTGATGCAGATAGGATCAATGGGTGAGAATCTGCTTGCTTGCCCTCTGTTGATTTGACCTCTTTTGCATTGAGCAAACTGATGCTTTAAGTCCAGGGTCTTAGGAAGTAAAGGAGCTCAGCAGTATCTTGGATAGGGCATATTTCTATAGACATGTCCTTATCATTTCGGGTTTCTATGTCCAGCCCTTTCTGCTGGCCACATAAGCGGCTTGCTTTTCTACTTCTCCATCTTCTTCCTTTAGGAAGAGCCCAGACTTTCTTTACTATTGTTTCCTTAAAGCCTCTTTCAAAAGGATGTCCCCAAATCCTCAACTGGTATGAAAATTCTCAAGGGAAAGAAATTGTGAAAGAGTTTAACTCAGTAGGAGATTGGCATTGTTTTATTATTAGTTGGCTCCACAGTTACTTCGCAACCTAGAATTTCCTTTCACTACCTTAAAAATGTGACACTCTCTTGAACAAACTGAGACTAGGGTACCTGGTTTAAGAGAAAAACTAGGGCCAGTATATCTGTGCTGTGTCTAAAAACAGTTTCTAGACTAATCTACTAAAAGTGGTAACCATAGTCAGGAAAAAGCATGCTTTGCTGAGGAGGAAGTAGAGGTAACCATGAGCATCATATCTGACGTGGCACTCCTGGTGAGATTAGATCTTTTAAAGAGACAAGAACTACTATGTTTTCCTCAGCATTCACAATAACATTGCCTGTGTTTTCTTTATTACCTTTTATTTCATTTTCAAGATTTATTTTTATTATTTTAATTGTATGTTTTTACATGTCTGGCTTGAGAAATGTTCATAGAGATGAAGTTACAGGCAGAGGCTAGAGAAAGTGGAGCCCCCTGGATCTTGAGTCTCCAGTTGGTACTGACCAGGGCTGGGAATTGAACTCAGGTTCTCTGAAACAGCAGTCTCTGCTCTAAAGACCCAAGTTATCTGTCCAGGCCTCTTATTTCGGGTTTGTGTGTGTGTGTGTGTGTGTGTGTGTGTGTGTGTGTGTGTGTGTAAAACTTTATGAGCACATGTGTGTAAGAGTGTTTATGGAGGTCAGAAGAGGGTCTCTGGTTTCTTGGAGCTGATGTTATAAATGTTTGTTAGCCACCCACTTGGTTGCTGGGATCCAATCTGTAGATCTCATGATTTAGGAGCAAGTGCTTTTTTAAACATTGGGACATCTTTCCAACTCCACATTTTCTTTAAAACTTTTAGATACACCGGGCCTTGGCAGCACATGCTTTCATTCCCAGCACTCGGGAGGCAGAGGTAGGCAGGTCTCTGTGAGTTCAAGGCCAGTCTGGTCTACAGGGAGAATTCCAGGACAGGCTCCAAAGCTACAGAGAAGCCCTGTCTTGAAAGAAAAAACAAAACAAAACAAAACAAACAAACAAACAAATCTTTTAGATAATTTGGAGGTGTTTACCTGTAGGTTGGTAAGAATGACTTATTGGAAATAATCACCATGCACAAAAAACTCTAGAAAATATTTTTGAAGTGTTCTTCCTGGGCCAGATTTTCCTCTTAAAAGCCTAAGCAAATAAATTCTGTCATGAGGGGATTACATTCTTGAGTAAAGGCAGGTATCATGTAAATAAACAGAGGATTTCTGTAACCAACTATATATAAGGGGGCCTGATGTAATACAGAATGAGAGAGGAATTTGGGGACTGTCTTTGTCTTTCTTGGCTCTTTCCTTCAAGGTGTACACCGTCTCACAATCATTATTTTCCACGATTGCCTTTTCCAGCATACATACAAATACAAGCAAACATTTCTCTGTTAACACTTACGTTTGAGTCCCACACAGCCAATGAAGACCCGCCTGACAGCAATCCCTGGATGCTCCGGAAAAAAAATTGGGCCATAACCCCTAGACTGCACTGGATCCAACTTACTCCGTTTCAACTGACACTCCAACCAGAGCTTCCAGTACTGACTTCAATCGAGTTGAGGATTTCAACCTAGATCTTCAATCAAGCAAATACAATCTAACATGAACTGGACATAACCCATTAGAGACTTTCACTATACTAACATTTTCTTCCCACAGGACCTCACAAGGCTACCATCGTCCCATTTCAGCAGGAAGTAACTTGGAAGACGCTATGCCCCGTTTACTCATTATTGTTTATTAGGGTAGTGTAAGCCTAGTTAGGAATGATTTTCTGATTGCTTAGGGTTGGGATTGGAAGGAGGTGTTCAGGTTGGACACCCCTTTCAGATGACTTTAGGGCTTAGCTGGAATAGACATAGTTAGGATGTGCAATAACAGATTATTGTATATTCTTGTATTTCACCTTTATAATTGTTAATTTGGGATATTTTACACTATTAAGTTTTAATCCTCTTTTAGACTAAAAGGGGAATTGTAGGGAGACATCGTAACCATGCCTTCTGTCAGGGCTTGGTCAAGGGAAGCTCAGGATGACGTGTGTTAGGTTCTAAAGGGACTGCAGACACCTGGGGACCCCTTCTCTCTGGCCTCCCTGCTTTGCTGCCTCTGGGCATGCCCTGGCTTGTGCTTGGCTGGTATTTATCTGAATAAACGTATTTTGAATCTACAAGCCTTCTCCTTCAGGGGCCTTGAAAACACAAAGAAGAAAGCACAGAATGGGTTCACGAAACTTTTGAATAATTTTTTTTTTTTTTTTTTTTTTTTTTTTTTTTTTGGTAGTTTGATGACACAATAAAGGGATGATTTGGATGAAATAATGTGGAGATATATATGATTTAATAAGCCCACTGGAGTTCAAAATGCAAAGCTAGCCACAGCCCGAGAGCCAGGCAGTGGTGATACACACCTTTAATCCCAGCAGCCACACTAGCTAGGAATAGAGCCAGGCAGTGGTGGTACATACCTTTAATCCCAGAACTCGGAAGCTGGAAATAGGATGATATGGCTGGAATATAAGGCAGGAGGAAACAGGAACTGAGCAATTGCAGTCTGAGGCTCAGTGGAGAGCAGTGCGGTCTGCATTGCAGTCTGATAATTTGTGGAGGCAGGATGGCCATTTCAGGCTTAGTAAGAGCTAGTGGCTGGCTGCTTTGCTTTTCTGAGCTTCAGCTTGAAGCTTGAGCCCCAACATCTCTGTCTCTGGGTTTATATTCATGTTACAAACAAATATCAGGCTAGGCACTGAAAACAACCTCACACATGGAGACTCACAGAGGGAATAGTGGATCTGGAAGTCTGGGGGGTAGTTTGTGTGCTGCAAGGTGAGGTCAGCGAGATGACTCACATGGAAGATTCAAAGTCCTTGGCAAACAACTGACATATTTACTTGTTATGCTAAAGTTAATGAGAGGCCATCAAATGTTTCAAGCAAGGAGAATGATTTTATTTGACTCATGAAGATTTTTTTAGAGACTGTAGGATGGATTTGAAGATGAGATATCCATTGGAAAGACATTACAACCCTCCACACAAGAGTCTGGAATGTAATAGCAGCACACCTTGGGCATGAATGGAATGTTATGAGTATTAGAAGATTTTCCACATTTCTGAATTTGTCTGAGGAAGATAAAAGCAGACCAAAGATGGAAATAACATTCCATTTCAGTGACCAGCTCTTGGTTTCTGGCAAAAAAAAAAAAAAAAAAAAAAAAAGGGGGGGGAAAAAAAAAAAAAAAAAAAAAAAAAATGGTGGGGTAGAAAGAAAATAGGAGAAAGAATTTTATAGTAAGAGTGAAGAGTTTGGGCATGTCAAGCTGAAATGTGAAGCATTCAGGATTTCAGAACATGGATCTGGGTTTAGGAGATGATTTGCAAATCAGTATAATTTCTTAGCTGAGGACATGGTCTAATAGAAACCTTCTCTTTCTCTAGATATAGTATTATAATAACTTAAGTAACATTAGTCCAGCAATACAGTATATACATGTTTTATTTTATTATTATTAGGGTTGAGGAAAATTAAAAATATTTACATATAAAATAAAACATTCTATAATTATTTTTTACTAAATCAAAACAGGAAGTATATGGTTAACTCTCTGCAAATCAAGGAACAGAGTGAAGAAATAAACAGAAAATTGTTACTAAAACTCCACCTTTGATCAGAAAAAAAAATCTAATCTCAGCCTACATTTTCCAGCAATTAAAAACAATGAGTGTTATGCAGCCTGTGGAAATCAGTTCAGCTGAAATGTATTCAAAAATGTATTCAATAATATATTTATAAATACACAGTTTTCATGACTATATTTTTACACTTACGAAATAAATGCAAGAACAGCATATACATGCACAGGCATGGTATCTTGCATTGTCTTTTTTCTAGTATAGACAGAGGAACTCTTTTTTTTTTGACAGATAAATTTTAACACATAGTATTTAACAAATATGCATTGTATGCACACTCAATGGGAATTTAGATATATAAACTTTTATGTGCAGTCATTCATATTAGAATACTTTGTACTCTGGGTTGCCTGTGGAACAATTCCCTTTGATCTTGTAGCAGATGAACAGTTCCAATGGAGTTCTGCTGCAGATCCGGAGCTGGGAGCCTGTGTTCAGACACTGGGTTCATTGATGGCCATCTTCTGTACCATGTCAGGTAGATTTTCTGACTCCAGGTCCTCTTTGCCATTATCTGAGTTTTCTGATGAGATATAACAGCCAGAGTCCCTTGGGCAGTCATCTAACTGTGACTTACTTAAGATGTCTGGTCTTAAGGACAAAGGCAGAGGTTCATTTTCTTGCTCTTCGTTGGCTATAAATGAAAAAAGTGTGGTGGTTAGGAGGAGCCAAGACAAGTTTTATATGATTGTCAGTTGCAAACATTATCCTATTTTAACTATTCCAATCTTTATTTCAATGGAAACTCCTGTGAATAAAATGCAGATTTATTTGTTTTAAAACAGGCATGTGCATTCCCATATTCATACTCTTGGCAATTAGCAATTGCTCATCACTGGCCACTTCTAGTTTCATGTTAATCATGTCAACTGCCTACACATGCAAAGACCAATATGGACTGCATTTTTACATTAATAAAAAGTTGCCAAAGAACACAGATTGTATCCACGGTGTGACAAATGCCTGATCCTAATATTTCTAAAAGGATCATTAGAAAAGTTGCATGTAGTTTGAAGTATAATCCCAGTGATCTGGATGAACAACAGTTCTGGAATTATTTGTATGTAGATATGTAAGTAAAAGATCACTAACCATGAGAAAATGTACAGCAGGTCCTCAAACACTTTGCATTTAGCTAATATTATTTGAAATATGCAAAAATTTCCTATGTCTGCATTCACCATAGAAACAGACATAAGAAAACTAGGCACTTTTTGAGTATAAAATTCCAAATTTCCCAGAACTGCTTCCTGAAATTTAATTTGTCTTATGCTCGTTTTTAGTTCTAAATAACAATAGTTTACTTCAAGGTTTATTTACTAAAGTAGTTTTATATATAAAAAGGTATTATCTTTTAGAATGAAGAATATCAGAACTCGAACAAAAGGTTTCTCTAAAGAACCTAAGCAACCTTGTATCCTGTGACTCCTTTCAGGAATCCTTTGTCATCAGGCTTCTCTTTGTCAATGTGAAGGGGCTTTGTCGTCTTTGAGACCAGGGGTAGGTATTTCTCTGCAATGTGAGCCAAGTTCTTCAGACAGAAAATGAATCTCTAGCTGTCATCTCTTAGCTGCATTACAACATTAGCACATCCTGTTTTCACCTAATAGCAGGGACTCTTCCTTCACTCTTCACTGTTCCCACACTGGCATGAACAAGCCAGTAGATTTACAGGTGAGGCTAGAATTGTGCCTCATTGTGCACTTATCCAATTCCGTTTAAAAGAAAATACAGCAGAGCTTCAAAGTCCAAAACTGTTTTCAGTTGACTCACATGAGACTAAGTACCTTATCTCTAGGAATCTAGCTTCATCTCCCACGTCATCTGTGTTTCGAGAACATTGTCTAGCTTCCTCCTTGACAGTGTTGGTTTATGTCTGCCATCTAGGCAATAAGTCCTCACTAACATCTGATAGACATGAGAACCAAGCCCTGGTGATTTCAGGGATGCCTGTATGTAGTGAAAGACTTGCCTTTCTTGAATCAGAATGCTAGTAGTTATGCATCACAATTATATAAATTGAGAAAATGCTTAACATATTTTCTGATTCTGTAGTTACATGATAAGTACAAAAACCAAAAAAAAAAAAAAAAAAAAAAAAAAACACTTCCTAGTCTACTCATCTTCAAAATGGAACGGACCATTTTCTTTAACCCTTTCCTGGAGGATCAATGCCACATTTACCCCATTCTCCAGAGTAAATGATTCCTGATGTATAATATTAATATAATATAATAGTAATATTCTCCTGGAAAATATTTGCTATAACATTTAAGTATTCTGCTATCTGACCTTTGAATCCTGGGGGTGTTAATAGTTTGATCATAAAAGGCAGCTGCCTTGGAGCATTTGCTGTTTATTCGCAAAGACCCATAAGCTGTAGGAGATTTACTTAGTAAGAGGACTTGATGAAAATCTGTCATTATGTTTCCAAGCCCTCCTTTTATGGACAGACAGCTGAGTTCAGGCATCATTTTCTAAGAGTTGCCTCTGCCTTTTCATCTTACTGCTATCAAAAAGAAAGGGACCAGTTCAGTTCCATTATCCTGGCACTTTTGGAGAAGGCGAGCCAGACGAGTTCTTTTGTACACACACTGCTACATTTGCAGAGATTTGAGTGTGACCCCTTTAGTCATGCTGGTGAATCTTAGATTAAGTGTGGGCTTCTTACCTCAGTGTAAGATGCAAAGCCTGAGCTACTTCTGATCAGAATGACATTCTAAGCAAATCTTGGAGTTATCAGACTCATTTGTTCCTAGCCCTGTATCCTGTTCAGGCTGAGGAGAATTTGTGGAGCAATTTTCAAGATAGAAAATTTAGTCTCTGAAGTCTCTAATTTCCAAAATTGTCTCCTTTTTATTTATTTAAAAAAACAAACACTTAGCTTCTTTTCTTCATCCTCACAAGCCTCTACACTTTCACTACAAATGGTCATCCAACACTCAGTGAAAAGCTGATTTTTCCAGAGCATATACACTGTTTTAGTAGTGAAAAAGCATTTGCTTGTTTCCACCTGGGAAATGCTGTCTCACAGTCTCTGAATTCTAGGAATTGATTTGTTTTAAATACAGGCTCTTTATTGTGAGAGCCCTTCCATCTGCATTTTTTATGAAAAGGGAAAGTAGTTTCTCAGCCTGAGACTTAAGCAGCAAGGTAATTTACAGAACAGCAGTGATTTGCTAATGGATTCCACATGAAGTGAAAACATGCCTGTTCTCCTTAGGTGCTTCCCACCAGGCCTGCAATAATTTCAGGCAGGTTATCAGCTGGAGTCCCTCAACTGTAACTATAAAAAGACAAGGCAGGTCATCATACAGCATTATGAAGGGGACAGCTCCATAACACCCTGGCTTTGGATATAGAGGCCCAGATCTCTTCCTGTGTCTTGTCATGCTGATACTAATGTCAGGGATTGGTATAAATGATGTAAGTCTTGGACTTCTGTTGTTGTTTTATTTGTTTGGGTTTTCGTTTTACCTACAGAGAGAAAACTCACGGTAGTAATTCACATTTTCTTTCTAAGACATTTAGACCTCTCATGTGTTGGTGAAACAGAGCAAAGCTAACTGGCTTACCTAGAAATTGATACCACAATCTATATCCACTCTGTCCTGTGGTCCAATGATCTCAACAAACCAGGCAAATAACACATTGTAATAAGAAATGCTTTCTGCTGAAACTATGGACTTCTTGGAGGATTTTTGAGTGCATATTTACACACTAAAACCTTTCTGGTGATAACTTAAAACACAACAACAACAACAACAAAATAAACAACACATATTTTTTGATGCTGTGTTATTCAAGCTATTAAGGGCATGTGTTCATGTAATTAATTAACAAATGGATATATTCAAATATAGATGGATTTGGATTTTCTGTTTATTTCCTAGATAGCTACTATATTTTGCATTTTATTTTTAGATTGTGGACATGCTCAAATAGTATTTTTATTCAGAATTGCCACAGAATACTTTGAGATTTTTTCCCAAAGACTATGCATTTTGTAAACATGAGCATAAGTGAGTATAATATTGACAAGTATTTATTACAGTCAATTAATAGCAGCCAAAATAAAACTTCATCAATTAAACTCTATATGCCACATAATGAAATTATATTTGCCATACTAAGAAAAGATTATTTAGAAAATATTTTATTCCCTACAAAAATTTTTAGAGAATGATATAATGTCCATGAATCAAAAATCATAGATTTAAGATAGCCATCAATATTGAAAAATGGCATGGTGATTAAAAAATAAGACAGCCAATATAATTTTTCATAAAATAATTATATTGGAGTTATGACATTTAATTAATTAAGTACAGACAGTCTCAATTTTATTAAAAGTGAAGAACACTTTGAAGACATAAAACTAGATCCTTTTCTTGGGAAGACCTTCTCAGCCTTCCCAGTCTCACACATTATGAAGTGAAAGGTTCTGTGAAAGTAAGAACTTCCAATTTTTTGCTTGACCTTCCAAGTTTTTTAACCCAAAATTTCCCAGATTTCAACTTTACTGTCACGTTTGCTTTAGATGTAAAAATATCTGTTTCTCCTGGCACAAGAGAAATTCCCAGGAATCCACAAGGATGACCATAGCAATAGTGGAGAGAGTGCTTGACAATTCAGGCCTTCCCCTGAGAATGATGACTACCTTAATTGCCATCATAGAGCCTTCATCCGATAACTGATGGAAGCAGATGGAGAGACCCACAGCTAAGCATTGAGATAAGCTCTTCTGGAGTCTGGTGGAAGAGAGGGAGGAGTATGATAGGAAAATCCACAGAAACAGTTGAACTGAGCTAGTGGGAGCTCACTGACTCAGGACTGACAGTTGGGAAACCTGCATAGGACCAAACTAGGCCCTCTGAATGTGGGTAACAATTGGATAGCTTGGGCAGTTTATGCGGCCACTGGCAGTGTGACTAGGGTATATCCCTAGTGTATGAGCTGGTTTTTTGGAGCCCATTCCCTATGGAGGGATACTTTGCTCAGCCTAGACACAGCAGGGAGGGCCTTGGTCCTGCCTCAAAGAGATGTGACAGACTTTGTTGACTCTCCTTGGGAGGCCTGCGGAGTGGATGGGGAATGGGGTGAGGAGAGGGCAAGCAGGAGGAGGGTAGAGAAGAAAAACTGGCATTAGTATGTAAAATTAAAAAGTATAGTTTTAAAAACAAAGGAAAACAGAACCTATAATCATAAGCATCTTACAAAAAATAATAAAATTGACATTGTAAGAAATATCTGTTTCTGTGACCCCCCTGAACTATTCAATAATGTGAGCTGAGAAACTCAGGGGAGTGCCTGGCCAAAGGAAGCATTGATGGAGAGTGGTTTTCCACTAACAAAACAATATTTACACTACTTAAATTAAAACTGAAGGTGACCAGAAAGGAGTCTATGAAGTCTTGAGAGAAATGAAGCCTCTGCTTGGCTTCCTGCCTTTGTTCTGTGGCTGTACAGTCACCAGCGAAGAACAGCCACACACCTTTTAGGATAGCTGCCTCCTCTTGTTTGAACCCCATTTGAGTCCCTAACCCTGAAACTCAGCCATTCCACAGATAACCATGCCAGTATTTGTATGGCAAGGCCTCATCTATGGAGGAAACTTTAATAACTAGTACATCT